CGCAGAACCCTGTGGAAGGGATGTTTCGCCTTCTCATTTTATCTCGCCTTCAAATGGATGTTCTTTGACTACCCAGAGGATACTTGGTCTAAGACCGGAATATGTAAAAGAATCGTTTCTGGCCACTCGCAAGTGAATGGCGACAGAGAACTTTCCTCACTTGCGGGAACTACATATGACTCCGTCCTCCAGACCTTGATTACTTAGGTGCTATCTTGCCGAGGCATAACTATAGTTTACGATTTTCTAAAAGACCCGAAACGTGAAGATAACTCACGAGGTGTCACAAGGGAAGTTATTCATAACCAATGACTGAAAAAAAATACTAACTACCAAGCGGGTCAAGTTTATGTTAGTTTTATGAACCTAGGTTTACATCAGATTAAAAATATTTGCATCATAGGTCCTCAGAGGTAGCAAGAAACTTCCGAATGTATTTCTGCGAATCAATATCTTGCCATAATTTCTCTCAGCCTTTCGAAGACGTTTTTAAAACTTGTAGGAACTTTCCATTTTTCACATAAACTCAACAGGCACCTATCAAATAAAAAAAAAATACCTCGAATAATTTTCTGGAAAAGGTTTAATCGCCCATTAAGACATATATGTTATACATGAATAATTTATGCGGTTGCTATAACAACAACAACTTTTGTTGAAACAACTCAGGCATTATAGACACTATCCTTATAATCCTTACTAAGCCCCCAGCGATTATAGGTGGCAGGAAAAACTGTACGGGTAGAAAAATGTTTAAGGCATGAAAAAGGAGAATCAATATTAAAGTAAGAGGAAACGTTGGGCGAATATAATATAATATTTGTATACCCCAAACAGGGTATTTTAAATCGGAGACAAAATGTGTAACACCTAAAAAGAAACACCTGATTGGCGCGAGATAAGATAAGTCCTGTATTTTTGGCTGTATATACGTGAACTAGTACCACAGTTTATGAGATATTAATGTGAAATTTTGCATACACAATTTTCTAGCCAAAAGCTGCTCATTTTCGGATTCGCCGTTACCAGGTCACTATCGGAAACAGCGTCCATACAAACTGATCGAACAAAATGAAATATTTTTTCTTATTTAGCAAGATATTGCCACGAAATTTGGCATAGATTTATATTGCCCTGTCACCGCTATAATCTTTGAACATATTTTTGGGATCGCACCACATTAGCATATATCAGGTATTCAAATTGGCTTTCGAAATCAAGATGCAGAGCTTTTTATACCTTATTAAGCTATATGAAATACACATGTGAAGGGTATTACAGCCTCATTGCTGGCTAAGTTATGGCTTTAGCTTGTTTCATATAAAATTGCATGAGTAAAAATGTTAAAATTTTTAAAAACTAAAAAAAATTAATAAAGTAGGCAATAATAATTAAACATAAGTAACATAAAGCGAAACTTTATATGCAGAAACAAAATAGCAGAGTTGTATTTAAAATTTATGCGCGGAAATTTAAAAAATTATTAGTAAGCACGTGTATATTTGTTCTTTCTATCCAAAACTTGCGCCATTGATCGACCTATTTATTCTTAACTTTCTCTGATATATAAATATATCTGTATATTTGCCTCAATGCACATTTGACACATTTAATAAAATTGTGTCATCATAATAAAATAGTCAAATACAAGAACAACAGCGTATACAACACAGAAGAAGGCTGTCGTGGACATTAACACCTGTCAATGTCAATATTTTAGGCCAAATATTTACTATCATACTATATTTTAACATAAGCACATATGTATGCACAAACCTGTCTATTTGCGCCCTTTAAGTGTCACATGCTAATCGATCAATGTCAATGTCATCAGCTCTAACATTTTATCACATTTGATCACAACTCAAACCCTCGTAACTCCCTCGGTACACATATCTATAATATCTTACATTTAATAAGCCACTACTTAGACACAGTAAGCAGTCCATTAAGACCACTTAATATAACGATAAATATTTACTTTATTCCCTATCTTTAACTTGAATTTGTTGTTCTATTTTTTGTTGTTATTGCATTTATATTTACATTGCTCACTCAGGCATTTTCACTTCCACAGGCAAGTGCTTTTTATCACAACTTTTAAAGAGTTTTTGTAGCACTTGTGACTTTTCACTTATCACTCGAAATAGTTGAAGCATCAAAATAAATTATTCAACATTACTTAATTGTTAATCAAGCAATTGAGCTGCTAAAATCGATGAGGAAAGTTGTAAAATCATGTTTTAACAAATCGTTATTATTGTTATATTTAAGTGGTTTAATATTTTGTTATGAGCTATGTTGCATATTGCTTGGTTTGTTTTTGTAACACACTCTAAACACACTTTAATTTAATAACTCTTTAGTTCGACGTTTCTTCTTCTTCTTTACTGGCTTAGAAAGCGCTTACGGCTTATAGTCCAGTTAATAACAGCGCGCCAGTCGTTCTTCCTTTTAGCTGTTCGGCGCCAATTGGAGATTCCAAGTGTAGCCCGGTCCTTCTCCACCTGCTCTTTCCAACGAAGTGGAAGTCTTCTTCTTCCCCTGCTTCCCCTGGCCGATACTGCGTCGAATACTTTCAGAGCGAGAATGTTTTCACACATTCGGAGGACATGACTTAGCCAGCGCAGCCGCTGTCTCTTAATTCGCTGAACTAGGTCAATGTCGCCGTATATCTCGTATATCTCTCTTCGTTCCAACGAGTGTGATATTCGCCGTGGCCTTAGCAAAAAGCTCCATAAATTTTCCGCAGAACCGTTTTTTCGAAAACTCGTAACGTCGACTCCTCAGGTATTGTTATGGTCCGTGCCTCTGTACCATATAACAGACTGTAACCAACGAGTACTGCTATCATTCTCCTACAGTCCCTTCGATCGAGTGTCAGTAGAAATTTTGTATATATGCGATCTACCGTTTTATGCATCACTTTTGCAGTTTTGCCAAATTCGTCCACTATCTGATTGCCATCGATGCCTGTGTGACCTGGCACCCAATAAAAATGAAGTCGCTTTCTTCTGGCAATAGTCTCCACTGCTGACTTACTTTGCAAGACACTTCTGGCCGATATGCGAAACGTATTTAAAGTCTTGATTGCCTGTCCACGTAGTTGTTAACTTTCCTGGAATTGTCTGCTGAAGCATTAGAGGCTCCTCGCGGACTCGCGCCAGACAAAGAGCTGACTTTGAGGGATGGTTAGTGTTCCAAAGCTTGGAAGGTAGACAGGTTTATACGCTCTATACAGCTGACTATATTTTTTTGTGATAATCTATGTTCTGTATGCCCCATTATATTATTTAATCGAATTTTTATAAGTTAGGCAAAAACTTCCATAAAGATCTTGGTATTCCTATAGTAGAGAAAGAAGTAGAGGACTGCAGAATGAAATATAGTAAGTATATTTAAAGTGCGAAAATCCGGCGATCAAACACTCCGAAAAAGAGCAACGTATCACCAAAACAGCTCAATCACTTGCATGAGCTTGTCTAGTTTTTAAAGATTTAAGATTTTATAACTTATTGTTAGACTTTAAAATAAGCAAATCCAATAAATAAAAAGAAAATAAAAGCAAACAGCCTAGAGATGTTTACTTCTGATTAATTTGTAAGTTCTGAAAACTAAAATAGCAGATTGCAGATTATTCTGGCTCATACTAAATTTGTGTATTTCTACTTGTATACATAAAGCTTTCATACTTCACATGCTTAATTTATTTACGCAAATTATTGGTAAGAAATAAAATGAGATCAAAACTATGAAAGTATAAGCCCCTCTACAAACATCGTTAAAAAAAGTGAAAGCTCTTTAAAAACTAATTCTAGTTGATCCATTTCCGAGGTATTCTTCATCCTTTCGTATAGAACTCATTTACCTATTGAACATATGAATGTAAATCTCCAATTTTAACTAATTTAGTTTAAGCTTACGGCTATGAAGCTTTTAAATACTACTAGCATAAGTTTAAAGCTTTTTATGGAAACTTGTCTGTCCATAAAATGTTCACAATAACTGTTCAACTAATTGCCTGCCCTGACGAATGCATCTAGTTAAACATTTTGTTTTTGTACTTTTTTTCAAATGAGCTTTTCTGCGTTACAACATTGTAAGCGATTTTTATATACATACGTCTTAAATGGTTTTAAACTCCTCCACCAAAACTTAATACTTATTTGTCATATATACTCGTATGTGTGTAGTTTTGCATTTTTCTTGTCTAAATTGTCTAAACCAAACTTTGATATGAATGTTTTCACATTCTCTCCTTGTATGAAATAGGTATTTTACATAATAAGGGTGAAAATGAAACCGTAGTACTATTGGCTAAAGCTTGAGTAACTTTTAACTAATAACGATAAAAACGAATATATGAAGAAGTATGTTTGGTCCAATGTTGTGCAAGCCTTTTGTTGCTTAAGTTAATTAAAAAGCTTCTTAAATGTAAAAGCTCCCATTGTCATTTGTGAAAGTTGATTTGCATTAACTGCTACTGCTATGATCTACAAACCTAGAAGCGAATGTTAAAGCTGCATTGGTTTTGGATGAACCTAAAGCTTATTTGAGCTTTAGCTCCCGAAGTGAATGTGGAAGCTGCTTTTGTTGGGAAATATTATAAGACATTTTTGTGACTTCAGTGTGTTTTGGATTAACCTGAAGCTCAAGTGGGCTTTAGCTCCCGAAGTGAATGTGAAAGCTTTTTTTTTTTGTGTGGAAAATATAAAAAATTTTGTTATGCATAAAACTTCAATGTGCATTGCACGTTGAGATGAATTTTTGCCTTTCGATATATATGTTTTTTTTTTTTTTTTTTTTTTTTTTTTTTTTTTTTTTTTTTTTTTTTTTTTTTTTTTTTTTTTTTTTTTTTTTTTTTTTTTTTTTTTGGTGTCTACATTATTTCATATAATATTTTGGCATGATACTCTCCCTAACTAACAAAATCTATTAATATTGTTCAATAAGCGCTGCAATATTTTTCTAATGTTTTTTTTTATCTCTTTTATATTTAGCATCTCAATCGCTACGGAGATTCTATGGGTTCACTAGCACATCGAGCGCTCCTACAATATGTGGAAAATAATGACCTATCCGGTTTGCGCGCTATCTTAGATAGTCGGCATTTATCCGTCGATGATCGTGATGAGGTGAGTAATATTATTTTCCATTTCACAATTTCACCCGGGGTTTCCTTGAAGTTTACATCCAATGACAGCTTTTTCATAAAAGCTTTATTGCCTCAATATGTTTATTCATATTTGTCACTTTTTTATAATAGAATGGCACCACTGGACTTATGGTTGTTGCTGGACGTGGCTTAACTGTTTTTGTGCGCGAATTCTTGGCACGCGGCGCAGATGTCCAAGCGGAGGACAATGACAACTGGACGGCACTCATATGCGCGGCCAAAAATGGTCACTTCGATATCGTACAAGTGCTCATCGATCACGGCGCCGATATTGAGCATCGTGATATGGTAAATATTTCTGCATATTATGTCTTGCCGAATGCCTCCCTCTAATACTTTTCGCTCTTCTCTCTCTCTCTTCAACAGGGCGGTTGGACGGCATTAATGTGGGCCGCTTACCGTGGCCACACCGATCTGGTGCGTTTTCTGCTCGAGAAAGGCGCAGACGTGAATGTACATGGCAATTATCATTTGGGCCCGCTGCTGTGGGCAGCTGGACGTGGCTTCAGAGATATTGTGGAATTGTTGGTGCAACGCGGTGCTAAGGTGAATGTCGGCGACAAGTATGGCACAACAGCGTTGGTGTGGGCATGCCGCAAAGGCAATGCTGAGATCGTCGATACGCTACTAAAGGCCGGTGCTAATGTCGACACAGCGGGCATGTATTCGTGGACACCATTGCTGGTAGCCACTTCGGGCGGACATACGGACTGTGTTACCTCGCTGCTGGAGAAGAGACCCAATGTTAATGCGTTGGATAAGGATGGCATGACCGCGTTGGCGATTGCGAGCCGTGAGGGCTTCCAGGTGGGTACAACGCGCCGTCAATGTAGTATATGTTTTAAAAATAATTCGTTGATTCCTTATTTCTCCCGTAGGAAATATGCGCGGCTCTCATCGCCGCTGGCGCCTACATCAACATACAAGATCGTGCCGGCGACACGCCTCTCATACATGCCGTCAAAGGTGGTCATCGTGGCGTTGTTGAAGCGTTGCTTAAGAAGCATGCTGATGTTGATATACAAGGCAAGGATCGGAAAACCGCTATATACACCGCGGTGGAGAAGGGTCACACGCATATCGTGAAGATACTATTGTCCACCAATCCCGATCTTGAGGCAGCGACTAAAGACGGTGATACCGCGCTGCTGCGCGCCGTGCGCAATCGTAACCTGGAAATGGTGCAAATGCTGTTGGATCGCAAGGCAAAAGTGACGGCTAGCGATAAGCGCGGTGACACCTGCTTGCACATTGCTATGCGCGCGCGTTCCAAGGCGATTGTGGAGGCATTACTGCGCAACCCCAAGAATAGCCAGCTCTTGTACAGAGCCAATAAGGCCGGTGAGACGCCATACAATATCGATACCATACATCAAAAAACCATACTGGGACAAGTGTTTGGCGCGCGTCGTCTCAATACGAATGAAGACTCGGAAGGCATGCTCGGCTATGAATTGTACTCGTCCGCTTTGGCTGATGTGCTGAGTGAACCCACGCTAACCACACCCATCACAGTCGGTTTGTACGCCAAATGGGGTAGCGGTAAAAGCTTTTTGCTTAACAAACTGCGCGATGAGATGAATAATTTCGCGCGGCAGTGGGCCGAACCGCCCATCAATACGAGTGGCTTGATGTTCCTGGTAAATCTGCATATTGCGCTAGTGCTAGGCACCGTAGTCGGCCTATCTTCGTGGTCTGCCATGTGGGGCGGTATAGCGGCAGTGCTTTATTTAGTGTTTACATACCTCCTGCTTGCCAGTATTAATTATGCCAACAACCATATGGACGTCTACTGGGCCTATTCGGTGCAACATGGCATTATGAAGCGCTTCGGTCGTTTACGTCTCATATTACAAGTGGCATTCTGTCATCCGCCCGGCACCCAAGCGGACGCACAAGCGAAGCCGGTGCGTTTTCACTTTGCTGAGGCGAGCAGCGCGTCGCCTACGGGCGAGAGCGCAGTTACACATATGTTGGCAGCGCTCTATGAAGCCATCGAATCGCACTATGGTTGGCTGTCGACACGCTTGTATCGCGCGTTTCGTCCCAAAGCGTTGAAGGTGACATCCGGTTGGCGCTGGCGTCGCATGTGTTGCATGCCGCTTGTGATCATTTTCGAGTTATGTCTATTAACGCTCATTACGGGTATCTCGCTCGTGGTGGCGTACTTCACGTACGCTTCGCCTGAGGAAAAGGAAAGTATACTCGTTTCGATTTATGTAATTTGCGCGATATTAGTGACTATTATCTGCACGAATTTACACGGATTGGCGAAGGCATTCGGTTCGCTCTTCATTTCACAAGGGCGCCATTTGCGTCGTTCGGTGCGTCTTAATGAGGGCGCCCCACTGACTGCAATGGGCGCCGAGGTGGCGCTCATGACCGATATGGTGAAGGTAAGTAGGCGTGATTTCCAAGTAGAAACTTGCAATACATTTTCTTGATCTACCCACAGTGCCTGGATGCTTTTACGAATCAGCAAAGTCGTCTTGTGGGCGTGGTAGACGCATTGGACTCCTGTGATACGGAGCGCATACTTTGCGTACTGAACGCCATACAAACGCTGCTCTCCTCGCCGAATCGTCCATTTGTTCTGCTCATCGCCGTCGATCCGCATGTGATTGCCAAGGCAGCAGAAGCTAATAGCAGACGTCTCTTTACCGAAGGCGGCATTGGTGGCCACGATTTCTTGCGCAATCTGGTGCACTTGCCGGTGTACTTGCAGAATTCTGGTTTGCGTAAGGTGCAACGCGCTCAAATGACCGCTATGCTCTTCAAACGCAACTACAGTGAATTCCCCAACGAAGATGGTCCGACACTGGGACATTCGGTGTCCGCGCGTCGCTTGTCCAATGCATCGGAAATAATGTCCAGTCAAGAAAAATTGCGCACCTCGCATAATCCCGGGCGCAGCGGCAAGAAGATGCGTCTCTCCGAGTCGGTGGCCAGTTCGATTGGCTCGAATTTGCATCGCTTGGGTCAGAATCCGCAGGGCGTGCTCGATCTGTCGCGCATCATGTTAACCGATGACTACTTCAGTGATGTGAATCCGCGCAGCATGCGGCGTCTCATGAATGTCATCTACATAACAGGTTTGTTTGAAGCATATCATGCGCGTTTGTTTAAGAGTTTATTAATATTTATTTCGTTTTTCTTTTTAGTGCGTCTACTGAAAGCATTCCAAATAGACTTTAGTTGGTATCGTTTAAGTTCTTGGATCAATTTAACGGAGCAGTGGCCGTTGCGCGCCAGCATGATCGTGCTGCAGCACGACAACTTTATGGATTCATACGACGATAATGTGTCGCTGCAATCAGTCTATGAAAAGTGCGTATTACACTATGCTACAAAATAAATATTTTTTATTTCGGCTTCGCTACCTCAAATATTTATTTATCGTTCGATAGCAGTAACTATAGCAGGAATACCAGTTTGCTATCTCGTTTTAAAATTCTTTGCGGAGTTTTGAAATTTAGATTTTTCGGTAAAAAGCTGAATTAAATGTTATAAAAAATAGATTTCGATACTGAATATATTTCCATATAACTTTTTTTAATTCTTAAATTTTCAGCCGCTCTGGCTAACTTGATCCCCTTAAGATATATATTTTAGGACTTCGACTAAAATAGTTCTTAATGAAATCTGGTTCTAGCGTATATAAGCTAAAAATATAATAAGCATTCTTCGAAGCAAATTTTCTCCGAAATCAAAAATATTTTTACGAAACTGGTTAGTTGTAATAGTGACTTTTAAAGTAATTTAGTATTTCAAGCGGATACGTTAAATCGCACTCTTAAGACCAATCCTCAGAAAAGTTACCAAAAATTCATCCAAAGACACCTTTAAGGGTTAAATAAAAAAGCAAATCAATTTATATCGTTATGGTTCCTCGGTTCTCTACGGCCTTATTACCCTCCAGTTATGCGTGAGTAGTTACAGCATCTGAGGATTTTCTCAATCTCACTCGCGGCTGGTAGCTAGACGCAAGCCCTAGGACGAAGTGGAAGGTCCATGTTATCCACAGSCTCCAATATGCCTCCTTATATATTAAAGCCGATCGTTCATTGGCACATCTAATGGGCTTATGAAGCCCATGATGCCATCCGGCACTCTCACATTTTGTGGGTGACCCAGGGTATCCTCTGATTACCTAGGAAGACTGAGGAGATAGCTGCCACTACTCTCATTTATTTGTCGTGGAAGATGGCACCATCCTCCCTTCTGCGGTCGAATACGCTAAACTCTATTGAGCGAGGGTTTTTAGCGATTTCGCTAATGGTTGGCGTAGCCCCTGTTCGGAGTATTTTACCAAGGGATGTTTCTTTATCATGCAATCTAAGCCTCTTAACCGCCTACCCTGAGGCCTGTTAGGGCTTTAACGGAACGGTAGCGGTTGCGACATTAGCCTGTCTGCCATTTCTGATGAGTGTCACCTCATCATACTCATGTATCAGAATTCCACAGCCACCAAATACACACAAAAATGCTGGTAGTAGTTACGTCAAAGAGTTAAAATGTTTTGGAAAAATATTCTTCTAGAAATTTCAGCAGAGGTCGCTAAGAACAAATAAATTTTCCGCAACGACGAGATTCGGGTTTACGAAACTGGAAAGGACCCGGATTTTTACTTGACTAATGATTGTGCTATCATATTCCAAATTACTTCAGGAATATATTCCATATTTGTATATGATTTTTTTTTTTTAACAAATTCAAAAGAGTTTCTATCAAAAGAACTTTGCTTTATAAAGTAAGTAAGAAGGATCATCGTGAAGGGACGAATTAAAAATATTGGTGCTTTATATAAATTTTATTACTTAATATATTTGATTTCCATGCCCTGGAATATCTCTCTTAAATGTTTTCAACATAACTTAATTAAATTTTTTTTTTATAGAGTACGCCCAAAAATCGCTTGCCTACGCGAGGCAGCACCGCTGCTCGAGCTCGATCGCGATGAACGCAAATTGGATGCATTCTTGCAGTTGCACAAATCGGATTTGTTAGTGGCGGATTTGCGCATATTTCTGCCCTTTACTATCAATCTCGATCCATATTTGAGAAAAGTTTTGAAAGGTTCGTGCAAAATTCTTATAATAATTAAAAACAAAAAAAATATGTAATTTCTTACTTATTTTTGTTGCAGAGGACCAACAATCGATCGAAGATGAAGGTACGCTAATGCTACAAAATAAGCCGAGCATTAATCCTGCCGTACGCATACCCCCACCCACACCGACGTATGTGCCTTCGCCCGCTGCTTATCCGCCATATCAATTATTCCACAACGACTATGAGTTGAGACATCGAAATGCCAGTATAAATTCGGAGCCGGCTATGACGCCGCTAATCGGCTCGCCGAGTGATTCGTTTGGTGTAAGTGCAAAATTTTATGGCAAGTGTTGATATGTGAATTATTTGTTATAAATATTTATAGGATGACGTACTGCAGACAAAACTATCCGACTTAACAGTGGAAGGTGTCATCAGCTTGCTGGAACGCGTCGATGACTTGCGTCCCGCTTTGCCGAAATTGTCACCAATTCTCAAGGAAAATGCCATAAACGGACGCGTACTGAAATACTGCGATACTAATGATTTGAAAGGGGTAATATCATACACACCAATCAAAATGTTTCAATTTTAATAAATTTTTCAATTTTAATCAAAATTTGTTTTCTAACTTTTTTGTAACAGGTGCTCGGTCTCAATTTTGGCCACTGGGAATTATTTAGATTACTTATAAACACATTACGAGACTGTGAAAAATTACAACGTAAATTCAAGCCAACACCGGCGATAGCCGATGTGCCAGCTTCAAACACGACAGCGCCAAAAGACAGCACAGACACGCATACGCTGGCGCCGAGTCAACCGCATTCGCGCAAAAACTCAACCACGAGTCATATGGAAAAGCAGGTTTGTCAAGCAACAATAAGCGGAGTGCAGACCTCCGTTATTAGTGTGTTGAATTAAATTCGGTAGTATCAATATTTCCATATACTACGTACTACATTATTCAAAAAGTACTGTTTTTGAAACATTTTCGAAAAATATTCTTTTATTTAGAAAAATACTGTTTTTGAAAAAAAATTCGAAAAATATTTTTTTTTAATTTTCGAAAAATACTGTTTTTGAAATAATTTCGAAAAAATTTTAACAAAAAATATTGACAAATATTGCCTTCGAAAAAAATTCGAAAATATTGTTTTTAAAAAATTTTAGAAAAATACTGTTTTTGAAACCATTTCATAGAATATTGCCTTTGAAAAATTTCGAAAAATATTATTTTTGAAAAATTTTCGAAAAATATTCATAAAATATTGTTTTCGGTAAAAATTTCGAAAAAGCTGTTTTTAAAAACATTTCGAAAAATATTTCGATTTCAAAAATTTTGAGTGTGTAGTTGGAAATATTGCTCATAGCATTTCAATGTCGCAAGCAACACATATCATAATTGCACATACAGACACATACATATGTACGAAGCAATTCGTTTTCATGCATAACGTATATTCTTATTTTGTTTGCGCATCATTCCGAAAATGCAGCCAAAAGTACACGATTACGAGTATCTACAGGTAAAAGTCATTTTTAAAAATCATACATATTTTTACGGTGTTGCCCATATATTATACTATATACATATAATATATTTAAATAAGTTGATTTGCTCAATTCTTGTATGCTAAAGGAATTTACGATCTCTAAATGTGGTTTTTTTCAAAATTTAAATTCGCACGAATTTATAAGTGATAAATGTCAGTATTTTTGTCGTAGTTATGATTAAATAATATTTTTTTTTAAATTATAGTTGAATTCGTTTAATGTCTATTTGTAAAATTTTGAAAAGTCAAAGGTCTAATAAGGATAAGTTGAGATATTTGCGATAATACCATTCACAGCGGAAAACGCTCAAAACCATCCGAAGTAGCAAGTATTGAAATATCAAAACTGTTAAGGGATCATTTCATTTTAACAAATCGGACCGGTTTTTTCTTTATTAAATATTCATGACATTGGGTGTATAGTAGTTATATTATATAAATTGTTAAAATGACACGTAAAAAGAGGTAATGTACCATGTCCACGATTGTGGCCGAAATTCTGATTTAAGGAGTTTTTCTTCGATTTTTAGCTTTAATGCCTGATAAACTACTAAAAGAGAACAATTTTGATGTTTTTATATGGTTCGATCATCTGGTAAGAGGACTTAAGGAGAATTTACCTTTACGTTAGTCTCTCAAAAGTTTTAAAATAAAATACTTTTATAAGAAGTTTGAAGAAATATCGATAAATGTAAAAATTATATTTCAATACCGTTCGAATGTTTTTTTTTTTTGTTGTAAAGGAAAGTTTAGACACTGCTTCAGCGAAATAATAGAATTAACATTAAAACCACTTAACGCCTACACAGCCCGTATCTGTTTCGATGAGGTCGGCTCATAACGAGAGGAGTGTAAGATGAGTTAGTTTGGTGAGCATGCAAAAGATGGTTAGTATCATACAAAGACATATGCTTAGTATGTGAGAGGTATGCTAGATGGGTAAGAGTTCAACCTACTACCGTATCCAGAAAGAAGGTGTAAAGTAATAATGGCTCGTCAGTGATGGTTGAGTTGAAAACAACCAAGGTCTAAGTGCAAAGTGCCCTACGCTTCGCTCTATGTTTAGTTTAAGAAGTGGTTGTTTTATAATTTAGAAAAGAACTACACCTTTCTTCGCAAATATATTTTTCCATAATAATTCTTGTAGTTTATAGTGTAATAACCACTGGAAAAAATATGTTACTTTTATACTTTTCGAACTGGTTAATTTCAAAATAATGCTGTCAAAATAAACATTCAAGGTTATATACCATAAAATTGGAACAAGCTAAAAGTTTGTTCAAAATGTTCAAAATCAAAGATGGCATGCCAAAACTGCTCATCGTTCGGATATTTCGAAAAAAAATGCTCGTGGTCAAAGGTTAAAAAAATTTTAAAGCGATTTTCTATGAAACAGCAAGTTGTATAAAAATTAATTTAGATATTATAATATTATATAAAAAAAACCATATGGAAAAGAAATTAAAAAAAAAATTTATTATTTAAAACAATTTAGAAATATTTTTTTTATTTAAAAATTATTTTAAAAAATTTTTAATTTAAAAATAAAATAAAAAAGTTTTTAAAAAAATTTTTCACCAATTATAATACTATAAAAAAGCATATATCAGCGGTAGGCCTTAGAAAATAAGTTTTGCTACATTTTGTAAAGATAATTTTATGACTAACCATTTTCGTCTAAAAAACTTTGACATCGAGCATTTTTTTATATTTATATCGGGTTTAAGTATGTTATCATAACCTGAAAAGGGTATATTGGGATTGCAACGAAGTGTGTAACATGCATAAGCAAACGTCATAGTCCCTAAAATATGTATATATGTATGTATAAGTGATCAGCGAGATGAGCTGAGTTGATTTAGAAATGGCTGTCTGTGTGTCCGTCAGTGCCGTCTATATATACGCGTTCCTTTTCAGATATCGATCTGATATTCTGCTCATGTTCTTTTCTCCCCAAGAAACTACTCATTTGTCGGTAAAGCCGATATCGGACTACTATAGCATATAGTACATGGCACTTACCGATAAAATCAAGTTCTTGTATGGACAACTTTTTTACTCGACAATGTATCTTCATGAAACTTCACATCTATGATTATCCAATGCAACAGTATAATTTCCGAAGAAATTATTCAGATTGGATCTCTATACCATAAAGCTGCCACACAAACTAACCGTTCAAAATCTAGTTCTTGTATGGCAGACTTTTTTACTCGACAAAGGTACCTTCACAAAATTTGGCATGAATTATTCTCGAAGGCAACCATACAAATTTTCAAAGAAATTGTTCAGATCGGACCACTGTACCATAAAGGTGTCATGCAAACTGAACGATCGGTATATAGTGCTTGTAAAGAATATTTTATTTTTGTAAAGGTTAATATAATTCCGGTGCAACGGAGTTTAGCATTTTGTCGTCTTTTAAGTATATGAATTATTTTTAAGGTTATAATACAAAAATATTTTAGACTTTGTAAAAACTAAAAATAAAATTTTTGGGTTAAATTAAATTAAATTTGTTTTCCTATCAAGTAAACTCATATAAGATTTTGTAAAATATTAAATTCTGCTATCTATTTTCCGAGTTAATGAAATTTTGTGATTCCCATTATTTTGCCGTACTAAATGTATACTTGATTTTCGTGTATTTTTCACTGTTATTTTATGCTCATCAGTTGCTTACGCTTATGTAAATAGAAACTTAATTCTTCTACAGAATTTTGTTAAGTTTGTACCAAAATTGGTGTAAATATTTTACGTGTAGATAATAGTTACAACGTTGAATGTTGGCAACCCTACTTTTCGTACCGTTTATTAACCACATGAAACGCTTATTACCGCTCATTTACAGGTTACGCTGGAGGAGCAAATGATTTGCGGTGCTTTGCAAACCCTCAACGAGGAGGCCTTCGAGGATGTGGCGAGCAGTGAGCGACCCAGCCCATCGGGTTTGCCTACAGGTGAGATGTTAGCTGCAGCTGCACAACTGCAATTAGCGCCCATACGCGAGTCATCGGAATTCGGTTCACCGTCCGATGACCTCAAATTTAATCACTTTCTACAGTATGCCAACAATAACAACTACGGCAATTTTCTTACACAACAACATAATCACAGCGACAGCACGCATTCGCTGCAAAGTATTGGTATTGGTGGTGGTGGTGGTGGTGGTGTTAATGTTGGTGTTGTTGGTAATAACACTATCCATATGGGTAATGGAGGCACTGGCGTTTTTAATAGTGGTAATATTGGTGGTGGCGACATGTATAAGTTGCGTCATAGCATTGTTGGTGATGCCAGCACCCAAGCTGCCGTACAATTGTTGGCTAATCAGCAACAACAACAACACCAGTTGACAGCTGGTGGCCATGGTCACCATCGCAACCAGCGTCATCATTCGGTAGGTGATGATTTGCTCTATGAATCCCTAATGCCTCAACAACAACTGCGTTCACCTATACAACAACAGCAGCAACAACAACAACGCAATACAGTACCAACAGTTGTTGTCATACCGAATACAAATGGTGATCACGATATCAGCGATACGCCACTATAGTAAAGCAAGGCGTTAGATTTCGAAAAAAATTTATTTTCGAATTATCGAACATTCTTTTAGTAACTATGCAATAATACGGTGGCAGTAGCAAATGCAATTATCTAAACAAATACATACATACATATATATTGTATTGTATTGGTCACAAATCCTCCCAGAACTGCACCACTAACAGCACACATATTGTTGGCACACAAACATATACACATACACTCACAGGCACTTGAAGTATGAAGAACTTTGTGTTATCACAATTTTTATGGAGTATATTTGCGATTTCACAGCGTCACGGTATGCACTCAGAGCCCGAGAACTTATAGATTTTATCCAATCTAGTCAAGTCATTGAGAAATGCTATTTGGAGCGCAATTCAGCACAGTATTAAGCGTCCACTTTGTGTATTAATCGTTTTAGTTTCGATATTTTGACAAAATTTTAAATACATTTGACAAAATTAATAATTAAGTTTTTAAAAACACGAAATCCAAAGTCTTATAAGTTAAATTCGATGTGGAGAAATGTTGGAACTGAAAATACTTAGTTTCAAAAATAATGTTTTGACGGGCTGGACATCTCTAGCTTCAAAAATAAGTCAAAACATTATGAGCTTTTAAAAAACCATGTTTCGGTTTCAAAATTGTAGTTGTTTAAAAAATCAAACTTAAAATAATTTGTTACAAAAGCTTTTCAGATATTCTGGTCTTTAGAATTTTAATTTTTTTTTTTTTTTTGAACTTAAAATCAAATTAAATACAAAGGGTGATCCTTTTCGAGGTTCCCTACATTTTTAAAGAAAAAGCACGGAAACTTCAAATTTAATTCGAAATGTTTATTATCATTCCAAAGAAAATTCTTTGGAATTAGTTTTATGAATATTATCTCTTTCAAGTGTTGTCCGCCTCTTCGTCTCAGTTGGCCCTTCCCGAGTCCAATTCTCGATCACTCCTTCGAGCATTTCGACTGGTAACTAGCGAATGACACGCGTGATGTTTTGCTCCAAGGGGTGAATCGCTGCGGGATTACCTCCACGGACTTTATACTTTGTATATCCCCATGGAAAAAGGTCTAACGGTGTGATAGCACGCGAACTTGGTGGAAAATAGACCGGTCCGAAACGTAAAATTATCTGCTCACCGAAGTGTTCTCTCAAAAAATCCATTGATTAATGCGATGTGTGGGAAGTGGTGCCGTCTTGTTGCAACCAAATGCCATCAAGATCACGATCTTCAATTTCAGGCATCAAAAAGTAAATTATCATGGCGCAATAACGGTCCCCATTGACAGTTACATTCTCACTGGCATCATTTTTAAAGAAATATGGACCGATGATTCTAAAGGCTCACAAACCACACTAAATCATTATTTTTTCTGGATGAAATGACAGCTCTTGAACTTCGTCAGATGCTCTTCGTCCCAAATCCAGCAATCATGCTTGTTTACATATCCATTGATCCAGAAAGGAGCCCAATCGTTGAACAGAATTTGGCTCAAAAATATCGGATCTTCTTGGAATAGCTCATAGAGCGAAGCGATGTCGCTTTGAAAGGTCGAGCGGCTTCAGTTCTGCACAAGCTGTATTTTGTAAGCTTTCAATTTAAGATCTGGACGTAAAATGTGCCAAGTCGTCCCAATGTCAGTCCGAGTTGCTGCGAACGGAGCCGAATCGTCTCTCCACGATCTTTGCTCTCCACTGTCAGCTACAGCTGTTATATTTTCTTTACTGCGTGCTGGACGTGGTCTATTGGGTCGAATATTATCCAATAATGAATGCTGGGTATCAAGATGGGTGAAGTTGTTGCGAATAGTACGCCAAGTAGGCCGATTAAATTGACCATTAGTTGAGCGAAGCGCGCGAAACACATTCCTTACAGAATAATAAAGTTGAACGAATTATAAACGTTTTTCTGGCGTAAGTCATTCCACAATGAAATGCCAAACAATACTGAACAAAAATGGCATTACAGCTTGACGCGAAAAAAGGATATTGAAAAAAGTACCTCTACTTGGATCACCCGGTATATAATGTTGCCATAGAATAGGACAATATTTTCGTCGAGAAAGGGAAACGCTTTTAGTTAGAACAATAATATATTTTAGTAAAATTCTTTGAATTTAGAAATTTGCCTCTTCAATACATTAATTTATGTAAAGGAAAGCCGTTCGTTTTTACATAGTTAAAAATAATAAGACACTTCAACTAAATATACACAATTCAGCAGCATATACATATACATAAATATAAATATATAAACAAGTATATGCATATACGCTATGTAAAACTAACCTCTATACACTAGGGTTACATTTTAGAAAACCTACTCAACAACAACAGTAATTCATTTACAAAATAACAGTTATAGAACTATAAATCATAGACGGAAAAGAACAAACCAACCGATTCTGCTCTTCATTTTTAAATATAAACAGCAAATATTTATATTTTTATATATATTCTTTTTTACTAACTTATATACTTTTGTACATGCCTGCATGCATATGAATCTGCTCATTTGAACTTAAACCAAATTTTATCGAGAAGAAATTGCTACATTAATAATTAACAGTTAGAGAAACGACAAAACTACGAACATATCTCAAGCTGAGCTTGACTTCAAACATTTTGTTTTAGGTTAGCTGCGAGCACTAAATTGAAATAATAATAATGTTAATGGCCAGGAGCAAGAAGAAGAGTAAAATATGGAAAATTTGGTGTTGAAAAACTCGGGAACGCTTTCTAAAGACCATAAAATAACAATAAGTATGAGACTAATTAATTTTTTTTAATTGATCACTTACATACATTACGACAAAAACGCACGCGGAAATTATAAACAAATTCCCCCGGTAAATTATATTTCAAAAAACTATATTTTGATAAGTTGGAAGCTCTGTCTTTAATTATTAAGAGTTGCCTCGTTTTGGATGACCTTCGACCTCTTTCATTGATTCAAATATTAAAGGAGTACAGGATATAGTGCTTGGAAATCGTCATGCAAGCTTTAGAGAGATGGCAAGAGAGCTCGACACATCTCGCGAGTCGGTTCGAATGATTTTGCTGAATATTTTGGGTGTGAAACGCGTTCTTGCTCGACTTGTTCCGATTGTGCACAGCTTTTTTCAACAAGAGTACCGTAAATAGGACTCTTTGGGAATGCTTTATCGTGACAATTCCGCTCATGGAGAGCGTTATAGCTATCGATAAGACATAAGTTTATGAGTTTGACATGCAAACAAGTCAACAATCATTGGAATGTAGGGAAAGAAATTCATTGTTTTTTTTCGATATTCGCAGTTTGGTGCATCATGAATTTGTTCCGTATGGACAAACTGTCAATAAGAAGTTCTATTTGGTGGTATTGAGGAGTTTGCATGTGAACGTCTGTTAAAAACGGCCGGAATTGTGTAAGAACAATTCATGGATTTTACACGATGACCGAATTTGAAGCCAAAAATGCATTGAATACCATCGATCAACGATCGTATTCAAAAGATTTGGCTCCGTGTGATTTTTTCTTGTTCCCCGAATTGAAATTGTCCGTTTACCGTCGATCGAAGAGATAAAACAAAATTCGCTTAAAGAGCAGGCCATTTCAGAAAGTTCTCTGAAAAGTGTTTCGAAGACTGAAAAAATCTTGAACATAAGTGCATTACATCTGGTGGGGATTACTTTGAAAAAGATGAATAATTAAATATTTTGCGTTTTGTTTACAATTTCCGTGTACTTTTTTGTCACAATTCATAATGTTGATGGAATTTAAGCAAATCTTTTCCATATCAGAATTTCACTGGAATTGGCAGCCTTTATTAAAAAAAAAAAAAAGACCTGTTCGTTCCTTCAAAATTACTTTAGGAATGTTTTCTGTTACTACAACAATAACAACAACAGAATATACTTGCTTCAATTTCAATGCGGCCATGATATTAAGCCTTGACCCACCGAATGGCAGTTACAAACTCGACTACGAATATAAAAGCGAACATAACCACAATCTCGCAGTAAAAATTTAAGTAGATTAATGCCTAGTTTGTTTTTTTTTTTTTGCTATTTTTTATTTGGGGATGTTTTATCGCCACAAAAATAATTTAAACAAAATTTTAAAGCATAGGTGCCATAAAAAGGACAAAACCCAAATTCTAACCTAAAAAAAAACTTGCTTTAGGTTTAACGTTTTTGTTTTCACACATCAAAGTGAATTAATGATTGAAATCACATTCCAATACATTTATTGGCAGACTCAAGTTATGTATGTATGTTTATAAAAGTTTAATCTCAACACTTGCATGACGACTGGAAATTTTATTTAGTTTAAAATGTTTTTACTCAATAAGCAAACAATATTTTTTTTTTATCGATTTTTTGAAGTTTTTACTAAGTTTATGGCATATTGCATTGCTGAGTTATGCGTATTCAACAAATTTTCTATTTTTATTACTTTTTTTTATCATAATAGAATTACTTATATTTTTATGCACACGAACATTGCACACACACATATAATACATACATACGAATGTTGAATTGATTAACTACACACATTATATTAAATATAATATTAAATAGGAAATTGTATGTTGTGCAGCGGGCTTTGAACCTATTTTAAACTAATTTACGTATAGCGAAGACTTTAAAACTATCATGTGCATGCATGTTTAATTGTTTAAGCAAAAATAACCGTTTCATAAGCTATAAAAAAAAATACACATACAGTATATGAGAAAAGTATGCATACAATGGATAAATGTTTGTGAACCTAACTAATGCCTAGTATATACTATATACATACATAGTTACACAAATATAGTATAATATCATGTATAGACTAACTAACTGTGGTAGCGTTATATAAATATAATGAAGAAGATATGCTAAAACTAACTGTAGAGTATTGAAGAAAAAGTAGTAAAAAATTATTATAAATAATGATTCAAATGTGTTATAGCAAATATATAAACTATAAAAATATTCTAACTTGCGTTAAAGTAACAATTAATTATAGTATTAGAAACCAAAAGTAAAAAAAAAATATATATATAAAAAAATTATAATAAAAATTTTAAATAAATTATCCAGTGGTGCTGTGTTAGTTTCATTTTTTGGGCATTACGCTGCAAATATGCTGCTGCAATCACAAAATCATTAAAATTAACTATTTACATGCATATGTACATAATATCACTACATAACTTGGTTTTGGCTGGCTGCGCCTGTGCTGCCTTGCACAATCCTCAATCATGATTCTTCTTTTGGTGTTGGTTGTGCTGCTGGTGAATATTGGTGTTGGGCTTTATTCCTTTTTGTCGTTGCATACGCTTCGTGCTCGATTTGGTCACAAGTTTCATTGTATATATGTATGTTTACACGGTTTATTGTTATTTAATGTTACACCAGTAAATGCACTAGTATAGAATACTAAGCTTATTTTAATATGCTATATATTACATATACGTATGTATGCATATATATTTTATATAATTATATTTATAAGAAAATATGTATATAAAGTCAGCTAAAATGCAAAATGACGTAACATCACTTTTCACAAGTTTACAGGCGAAGGAAAAACGATATGATAGAAACCTCTAACTAGAGTTTTCGTTATAAAATGCTTATATGTTGGTTATCATACACTCATATTGAAACAAAATTAGAGTTTTCATTATAAAATGGTAATATATTTGTTATTATATCGGATAACAATTTTCAATTTTTTTTATGATACGTTGTTTTGCATATTAGGTGATGATATATAAGTTGATTTAAGCAATACTAATGTCTGAATATATATTTTAGTGCTTTTGGGTTATAGCTACGAAAAAAAGTATTCATTAATATTTTAGATTTATTTAGGCATGTATACTTGGTGGGATATAATTGAAAAACAAAGTAAATGTAGCAATTAGAACAAAAAGGGTTTCAAAAATTAAAAATAAAAGTAGAAAAAAAAGAAAAGTTACACATAATACCCTTCACAAATAAAAAATATTCCATGCTTCTTTTTGAACGGTCAGTTTGTATGGCAGCTATATGTTATAGTACTCTGATCTGAATAATTTTTTTCAGAGATTACACAGTTGCATTGGACAATAATGCATGCCAAGTTTCATGAAGATATCTGGTCAATTTAAAAGTTATTTCGTATAAAAGCTTTATTTTGATTGGGCAGTTTATATGGCAGCTATAGTGGTCCGATCTGAACGAATTCTGTACCGAGACTGTACCGCTGTCTTAGTTTTCTGAAGATACCTCGTCAAATAAAGAATTTTTCATACAGGAACTTAATTTTGATCGTTCAGTTTGCATAACAACTATATGCTATAGTAGTCTGATCTGCATAATTTCCGCAGAGCTTATACGCTTGCATTGGACAATAATGCATGCCAAGTTTCATAAAGAGACTTCGTCAAATAAAGAACTTTTGTATACAAGAACTTGATTTTGATTGGTCAGTTTGTATGGCAACAAATCCACGATTCCAAAATTATTTTTTATCATTTTTAAAATCAATACTATAGTAAATAATTATATGCGCGTGTGTGTGGGTTAATATTCATATGTACACTATTTTGAATTATTTTATATAAATAGTAAATCTCAAATAATCGTACATAACCAAAAAATATTTGGAATCGGTTTTTAATGATTTTAGGATATTTATTTTATTTAAACATTATTTATAATATGAAGCAGCGTTATTTACGTATACAAACATACATAATATGTGGGTCTGTCAATATATGACAAGTAGTTTTTTTTTAAATCATGAGATTGCTTTAGACAATTTAGGAAAATATACGATCGTATAAACTAAATAAAATAGCACAGCTGAGAATTAAAATTTTTGTAACCAGATTTTGTAAATCGATCCTTTGAACACTTAAAAATTACGAAAACCTTATTGAAGCAGTTCAAGCAGATTCATTGCCTTCTCCTTTTTTTCCATGCAATTTTCGCTAAACGATTCGCCATTTCGAAAATAATATGAATTTTTTATATATGATGTATCTGAAGTACAGGTAAAGGCCATTATGTGGCAATAATATGCTCGATAAAGTTTTAACAAAATTATTAATTTATATGTTTGATCAAAAAAATTTCTAAAAATGTAGAACTTTGATTATTTTTGCGCCAGAGCAAAATATAGATTCAGACTCCTCGTACCCAGAAAATTTAGCTTTTTCGCAAAACCTAATTTCCTCGAGAAACAACTGAAAATGTGAAAAAGTGTAAAAAAAAAGAATTTATGTATATGTATATGTAAGTAGTAAAATACATAGGTCCGGAGTATGCTTGTAAATTATTATTGTCGTTAATTTAGAACTTAAGGAGACATTTTTTTACTTTAAAGCTGCATACGTCGTGTCATCAAAGTTGTGTATCCAACCTCTCTCTCACCCTCTCTCTCGCTCTCTCTTTATTAATACTTAAACCTTTACCTATAAGTCTCTTTGCATACCTAATATGCCAGCATGTCTACCTTAACTATCTCCGTAGATGCCGAACTGCAGCTAATCAGCAGCACACCAATGCCACCAGCATCACCGCTGGCACAACGACGCGACTCAATACTGAAACATCAGAACAGCGTTAAAACTGATAAGCGTGTCAGTATCAAGAGTGGCAGCAGCAAACTACAAATGACATCCAATTTGGAGTACATTTCGGAGAAGCCCTCATCGCTCTCATCGTCCGCCTCAACGTTGCCATCGAGCGGCTCAACAACGCTGGAACGGCGGCCGAGCAAAACAACAGGTATATATTTACAATGATATATGTATATAAATTTAAAATTATGTATATTAATTATATGTGCATTTTGTGTTCACAGGTCCACGTCCGGCCTCACTGGTCATCACCAAGCAAGACAACAAGGGTTCACAATTCAAATTAGTGCGTTCATCGTCAGTGGACTATGAGGATATCGAAAGTCAAATGCCTACGGCGCGCTCGGTGAATAAAATTATATTAGCCGAACACCTGCCGGAGGATGAATCAGCACCGTTAGTCTTTACTGTGCACAAATGAGCAAATTCAGCGGCGTTGCAAGCAATCAGCTGACTGACTGTTGGCTTGAAATTTAAATTACAAAGCTAGGCTGTGTCTAAGGAATGCCTTCACAAATGAGGAATGAAGAAAGAAAAGGAAGAAAAAATGTAAAAATAGCAAAAGATTACCTAAACCGTAAGAAAAGGTCACAAGTTCAGCTATACGCTTTGTTGTTGTGCGCCACAAGACGAAAAGGTGCCGCAGAATTGTCACAAAGCAACTTTTGATTTTTTTCTATAAAACTATATTTCTTTAAATCAAATTTTTGTGGAAACGAATAGTGCTAGCTGTATTGCATTATCTATATACATACATATATATAAGTAGTACATTTATGTATAATCAAATTCATGTTATGTATGTGCGCACTCGCCGCACATTTAGATATATATTTTTCCAATGCGTTTTTACTATATCTCTATATAAAATAATTTAGCAGAATATTCTCTAGTATATTAATTATGTATTGTGCGCATATACCCTATATACCTATATATAACAATACATATACATGTATATAACAGCGTGTATATGTATGTATAACGTTGTAAAGCGCTTGGTGTATGTCCAATACTTAGTATTTAACTAAATGATTTGCAACGATGCCTAAGAAATGTGTAATTATCGTTTAAATTGAGAAGAAAAGTAAAAATAACAATAACAATTACGTCGTTAACATTATTTGTTGTTGCTGCTGTTACTATTAAAAAAAGTATAAAGTGTATAAATCTACAATTAAATGAAAATCAAAGCGTTGCTCCTCAACAACAAGAAACAACCATATTATTACCAATTAAGTATTGTTAGTTGCAGAAACTATTAAAATTTAATAAATTACATAAACTAAAAATAAGAAAAAATGCTGATTGTCACAAAGGTAGCTAGTAACATGTATACAATTGAACACACACATATACGTAATATACAAAAATACTACACGTGCTCTTAACAATTGCATATGATATTTAAAGAAATAAAAGCTTGGCTAGCTTGCAGCCAGTAGCAATTAGATTGTACTTAGCAGAATTGAATGATGTATGAGAATAAAGATTTTAAATGCAATTGCAAAATATTGACTTAGTTATTTATCTTCTTGTACGGAAGCTCTCAAAACCGAAAGGAAGTCGCTTTTACTAGGGGAGGAGTGAGAAAATTTTCAATTTTTGTGAAGACTTTGAAGAAAAAGAAAATGAGTTGTTATAAATGAGTTATTATAAAGTAAAAATTATAAACAAGTTTGAAAATAACTACCAAGCGTTAACTCGTAAATAATGTACAGAAATGGCGTTTAAAATTTCCAAAGGARTGATGYAGTAGTTTTGCAGRKATTTATAMCRTAAATCTCAAAATTTAGAATCCAGACAGTCAAAATACCGACAACTCAAACACCGACAAATCACAATATTGGCAAATCAAGAAAAGTTGGCGTTTCTCTTTCGAGACCCTGTGGCCTTCGTCCTCTGGCCACGAATACGCTCAGGATCAGAACCCTTAGTCAATAGAATTCTCTTTCCGTGCTTCGATAAAAATAAGGGTGGACAAGGTAAAATATTTTTCACATGACGGTATTTTGATGTGGCGGCATTTTGAACTTCGGTATTTTAAGTGTATCCCGTTTTGAAGTTATGACGGCACTGACTTTGAAAAGATGAAAAACGTGTTGCATAGGTTTAATACAAAAAAAAAAAAAAAGAAATAAAAACCTTGCAATCTCAGAAGAGGTTATGTCAGTCTAGTATTTTCAAAAATGTAATGCTTTATAGCTTAAGGGAAACTCTAACTCTAACAATATTCGATGGATAAAATATTGAAGCAAGTCTCTTTAGAAAAAAAACCAAGGGTTTTTCATCAGCAACTGTTATACTACTGTAAGACAGAGTAAGACTTTTTCAACTAAATGTCGAGTAAAAACCCATTTATCGAAATATTTATTTTCTAGGTTGCTATGACTGTCAATGACATCTGTGCCAAAGGTCATAAAAATAATCATTAGTGATTAATAACGACTAGGTAAACCGTTTTGAGTCAATTGAAGGCATTAAGGGGCTGTACTAGTTGACCCTTTCAAAAAATCAATATTTTTTACTTTTTCTCGAACTACATTTTTCAAAACTGCTGACATCATAACTCAACGAGAAATTAAGCGATCGACTTTAAATTAAAACTGAATATTGTTGAATTCATTTACTATATAATGACCGACGATTTTTTTGATCGGTTGAAAATTGTCAGTTTGGCATTAAAAAAACGACCATTTTTTAACTAAGAAAAAAAATTTTTTTTTTCAAAATTACGCCATTTTGTTAATTTTTGATATTTTTCAAGGATGAAAGATATAGGAAATATCTTTAAGTTTAATAAACTTTCTGATTTTTTTTGTTTCGGCTACTCATTCGGCCGGAATCATGTCAGTTGGGGCACTTTTTTTTCGGCACCTCCGAAGACAGAGAACTTCAGTACTTCTTTAAAGAAAAAATTCTCGAAAATCGCCTAATTTGTCATGCGTTACACTGGTATAGCTCATTAATTGTCGAAAGATTTCTTAAATTCGATTTTTGGCATAGCCTATTCCTCTTTTAGCGATTTTAAAACGATTTTGCAAGGCCATCTTTTCATTCTTTTTATTTTTGGAAATAGGCAGCCATGTTCGAAAGAAATTACGTTCTAATTTTTTATACATTTCTTTCAGCAAACGAAAATCGCCTAGCTAATAAATACACGTCTAACCTTAACAGACAAAGCAAGCAATGAATATAACTGAAAACTCTATGGTACTTCCGAGGCATATGTAGCATATGCATATGTACATATAATTGGAGTCTCCAAACCGGAGATTTAAAATTTTACAATTCTCGGTATTATGAGCCGAAATTTAAAAAAAAAGAAGCCTTAATCTACGCATTTGGGGATCAGCACTCGGAGACGAACAAAACGAATTAAAGTCAAGAGAAAATGTCAAAAAATAAGAATACCTAGCTTACAAGTGAAAGAAGGCAATTTATTTCTCAATATAACCGCCATCCAACATCTTTAATTCGTATTCCAAAAGCTCTTTAAATTTCTGACCAACGCGTGACTTTTTCAAGTTTGGAAACACAACAAGTTGTAAGGGGCAAAACCTGTAGAATTCGTTGTATGTATTCGCAGTGAAAGTCTACCATTTTTGCCATAGCGATGGCGGTCGATTTTGTTTATAGAGCTTTTGAGTTCCTAAAATAAGAATTAGCTTTCAATTTAATAAAACAGTGGAATCAACAACGGTATTTACAAACAAACTCCCTTATTCGAAAGAGGGTTACGTACAACGGTTTGGATTCCAAATCCTTCGACTTTATACTTTCATTAAAATAAGAAGCTATGTCCTGACAATCACAGAACAGCAATTATATTTGGCTTATGAAGCGAAGTTGGTATGAGGTGCTCGCTGGTGTTTTTAGGTGAGCTAATACTGTTCAAGAAGGGGCAAGCAGATGCAAAGTTGTCAAAGACATTAGATTCAATAAAATTTAAACCTTAGATAATGTTTTAAACTTTGTTACTAATAAGTCATTTTGGCTTCGAGAGCCACAAGAAACAGTAAATACTTATTAACAGTATATCTCTAGTATAAGGCGCATAGAGCAGGTATTCGATGATGCTCGAACAAAATTGATGTAAGATATTTGTCAGTTCCTTTCAGGAAAGTGAATGATGAGGTGATCTTAACTTCAAAAATTCAAAATAAATTTTAGATATACTAAAAAAAAAATTTCATTACGTCAGAATTAATACAGAGACGTACACTGGATTCAATAGACGAAAGCGAAAATGGAATGGAAAAAAAAAACAACGCCCCTAAGGATAGTTTTTTTCTTTGCGAGTTGTAATGGTTGTAATTTCTTAAAAATTGCTGACAAGTGTTAAGAGCTATGTGTTCTATGTACATATGTATATCCGCTAACACATAATCCAATATTTGAATTGAACTAAATTTTAAAGTATGTTTTACTTTTTAAATTATCGACAATCTCTTGCAAACGATTGAGTAATCGATCACCAGCAATCGTCTACACATCGTCGAATCCCCACCAGCGACAAGCGTGCTACGATAAAGATCCCCAGTTCAGTACATTGCCGGCAAACCCATACACTCACATCCGCATTGTAAACAAACCACGACAAAATGAAACGGTAGACCGGCATTTTCCCCAACAACCAACAAGCCGATTTTATATACATAGAAATGTTTGTGTATATTCGCCTCTTTAAGTGGCAATAAGGAGAGAGAGCACAACAAACGAAAGCAGAAGAGGCGAACGAACGCCCCAAAAGCAATAAAGTACATAAAATATACAAAACCACCAGCCCCACATCGGCAGCGATTGCAGCGCCACCAGGCAGGCAAACAACAGAAAACAGGCAACAGTCAAACGGCGAGAGGTAGTCAAGCTATCAGCTGTGCGATTCGATTCAAAGAGGTCACCTTGAAGTTGTGAATTTCAGTTCAGTCGATTTTATTTTACTCGCAGTTCGTACGCACAGGCATTTTTTCGCCCGATTTTCGACAGATTTTTCAACGTCGCGCCAGCCAACAAAAGTCAGTTAAGTCACAAAATTTTTTGGGTAAAGTAATCGTTCTGCTTGCATACATATTTTATGGTAGAAATAGTACAGATTCTGCAAATTTTCCTTTTAAATGCATATGTCACATAAATGTTTGGTTAAATATAGTGGAAATGCGTGAATTGCATAAACATTTTAAAGTTGTGAACAAAAGATGCTTCGGGAATGCAAAAAAATAGAACTAATCGAGGAAAAAGTTTTTTTATATTAAAAAAAAAAATTAAATAAATATTACAAAATA